CTTCTGCCCAAAGAGTCTGTGTGGGCTCAGTTTCTCCTGCAGACTCCCACTGGGTTGCCTAGGCTACTGAATTGTAGCACCTCAGTTCCTTAACTCTACCCTTCTGTTATGTATATCAAGAGTGGGGCCTGCTCTTTGTCTCTTGTTCACCTTTGCAAGGTTGGCAGAGAGAGAAACTCGTCTGTACCAGTACCCCCCACCTTTTTTCCCCTTCTCTCCTGTAGTCAGTCTGGTGAACTTTCCCGCCTCAAGCCCACTTCCCTCTAGATTCTGTCCGCTGTTTCCCCACCAATATCTCGCATTGCTGAGCTCACCTCACCTTCCAGTGCTGATGTGTGGACTCGGAGCCCTGGGCATCCCTGCTCTCCCACTGGTCAGTCTGTGTCACATCCACTCCCCTTCCAGCACTCTCTTGTAGCCTTTCAACATCACCCACTTAGGTTTTGCACTCAGGCTCCCCTAAGTTCAGAGGACATAAGGCAAAGGACACGGGGTCAGGAGACCAGCCCACCTTTGAAAGTTGAACTTTTAATAGTAAAACAAAGAAAAGTTTCTAAGGTGTGCATGAGAGAAATGCCAGATTATTTTCAGAGACATTCCAACTAGACCCACAGCTGACTTCTTGTCAGAATCTCTATTGGCTATGGAAGAATGCAGATACATAGTTTAAGTTTTAAGAGAAAAAAATGAAAACAGAGAATACCGGACTCTGCAAAGCTATCACTTATGAATGAAAGTAAATAATGACCTTTCATAACACACAGAAATTGAATTTGTCATCATTCATCTGGCCTTATAAAACATGCTTCAGGATATGCTACACACAGAAATACAGGAATATATTCATCATTATGAAAAAATGTGAAGACAGAAAATCTCCCAGTAAAAATACAAAAGAAATCTAAAGTAAACAATAAGAGTATGTATGGAAAATCTCAGGGCCATGTCATTACATAATAATAACCTTGAATGTAAATAGCCTCAATTCTTCAGTTTAGAGATATAGACTGATTGAAAAGATTAAAAAACCAAGACCCACCAAGGTATAGCTTTCAAGAATCACACCTCACCAACAAAGACACACACAGACTGAAACTGAAAGGATGGAAAAAGATAATTGATGCTAGTGGAAAGCAAAAAAGAGCAGTTATAGCAATCCTAATATCAGATAAAATAGACTTTAACAACAAAAAAAAACTGTTAAAAGAGACTAAGAGGGGCACTATGTAATGATTAAGGGATCCATTCAACAGGAAACTGTGACTATAGTAAATGAATATAAACCCAATTATAGGATACCTGGGTATTTAAAAGAAAGATTAATGAATTCAAAGAGAAGCATAGACTACAATACAATACTAATGGAGGACTTCGACAAGCCACTTTCATCAATGAACAGATCTACTAGACAGAAAATCAACAAAAAATGACAGTTAATTGACACTAGGGACCAAATGGATCTAACTGAAATCTGCAAAATTTTTCATGCCACAGTTAAAGAATACACATTCTTTCCATCAGTCCATGGAACTTTCTCTAGAATAGATCATATGCTAGGCAATAAAGCATATCTCAACAATACTATGCATCATCTCATACCACAAAGTAATAGAATTGGAAATCAAGCACTCAAGAAACTCCAGAACATATGTGAACACATGGAGGATGAACAACATGCTCTGAATGAATAGTAGGTAACAGAAGAAATTTAAAAAATAAAAAAATTCTGGTAACAAATGAAAATGATAATATATCAAAACTTATGAGATGTAACAAAAGTAGGGTTAAGTGAGTTTATAGCAATTGGTGCCTACATCAATGAATTTGAAACATACCAAATAAATGAGCTATCAGTGCATCTCAAGGACCTAGAAAAGCAACAACAAAACAAACTCCAAATTATTAGGAGGAAATAAATAATTAATATTAGGGAAGAAATAAACACAATTGAAACATAAAATAAAAAAGATCAGTGAGGTGAAATCAAAACAGCCTGGTATTGGTTAAAAAAAAAAGAGAGATGTGTAGACCAATGGAAGGAGTAGAAACTTGAGAAATCATCCATGCATCTGCGACCAACTGATCATTGACAAAGGAGCTAAAATATATCCTTGAATCAAGGGCAGTCTCTTCAACAAATGATGCTGGGAAAACTAGATCTCCACATGCAGAAGTATGAAACAAGACCCCTACTTTACACCTTACACAAAATTCTACCCAACATGGATCAAAGACCTACATCTATGATATGACCCGATACCATCAAATTACTAGACTATACATTGGAGGAACTCTACAACATATTGGCAGAGGAAGAATCTTCTTGGAAAAGATCCCAGAAGCACAAGCAGTCAAAGCCAAAATTGACAAATGGGATTACATCAAGTGGAGAAGCCTCTTCCCTGCAAAGGAAAAACTCAGCCAAATGAAGAAGCATGACAGAATGGAAGAAAACATTTACAAGCCAGTAATCAGAATACACAAAATGTAATGAAATATAACAAGAAGAAAGCAAACAATCTGGTTAAAAGGGGGGCAAAAGACTTGAACAGCCTTTTTATCAAGAGAGGAAATTCAAATGGCAATAAACACATGAAAAAATGTTCAGGATCACTAGCCATCAGAGAAATGCAGATCAAACTACAATGATGTTTCACCTCACCACAGTTACAATAGCTCCAATGGAGAAATCAGCAAACAACAAATTCTGACTAGGATGAGGGGGAAAAATATCCTAATTTATTGTTGATGGGAATGTAAACCGGTGCAGTTACATTAAAAGAAATCAGTGTATGAAAAATTTATCTGTATCCCTATGTTGATTGCAGCTCAATCCACAAGGGCTAAGATTTCAGATCAACCCAGATGTCCATCAATTGAAGATTAGATAAAGAAAATGTGTTATATATACACCAAGGAATACTATACAATGGTTAAAAATGATATCCTGTTGTTTGCAAAAAAATGGATGCAACTGGAAATCATTATACTTAATGAAATAAGCCAGTCTGATTGTGGTAAGTAATAGAGTACCTAAAAAGTAATCTATAGGAATGAAGTTGACATTTTGAATTCAGTGATTTTTTTAAAGAATTGTTTTATTTATTTGAAAGACAGAGTTAAAGAGATAGAACCAGAGAGAGAGAGAGAGAGGTCTTCCATTCCACTGGTTCATTCCCAAAATGACCACAATGGCCAGAGCTGAGCTGATACAAAGTTAGGAGCCAGGAGCCTCTTCCAGTCCTCCCATGCAGGTGCAGGGGCCCAAGGACTTGGGCCATCTTCTACTGCTTTTCCAGGCCACCAGCAGAGAGCTGGATAGGAAGAGGAGCAGTTGGGACTCAAACTGGTGCCCATATGGGATGCTGGCACTGCAGGCTAGGGCTTTAACCCACTGCACCACAGTGCAAGCCCTTGCAGTGATTTTTAAGTCTTTGTCTCTACTGTTCAGGTTCAATGCTCTTTTGTGTTTTTTTCTTCATACTATTTGTTGAACTCTACTTAGAGCATGGTTATTTTATGAGTATAACAAATTGAAAATAGATATTTGTTAAAAATAAGAATGGGATGGGGGAAGAAAAAGGGTGGGCACATGTGTTGTATGGAGGGCAGGGTTGAAATTATCACTGTTTCTGAATCTGTACATATGAAGTACATGCAATTTGTATAATTTGAATAAAAATTATAAAGACTTCTATTTGTGATCTTAATTTTAATCTCATGATAAAATACTTTATATCCCAAATGGTCTAGTCCAAATCTGATGTGAAAATTTCATGGGTTAAATTGTTGTTCACCATTTTGAAAATGCCGTGTTTATTCAATATCTAGTCTCTGGATTTATGGTTGTACAATGCCATTCCTGAGAAGCCATGGTTGACCCCACCCAGAGCATCTTCTCTTTTGGACCCTCAGAGCTGAGCTACTGTATACCTGTCCATCCAGGGCAGACACATAAGAAATCATTGACTGATATTTTACCTTAAGGGGGACAGGGATTAGTAAACTTATGTAATCTTTTGGTTTTTGTAAAATTTATTTATTCATTTGAAAGAGTTACAGAGAGGGGCAAGGCAGAGGCAGAGAGACAGAGGGAGCTAGAGGTCTTCCATCTGCTGGTTCATACCCCAAATGGCTGCAATGGCTGGAACTGAACAGTTCTGAAACCATGAGCCAGGAGCTTTTTCAGAGTCTCCCACATGGATGCATGGTCCAAGCACTTGGGCCATCTTATGCCGCTTTCCTAGGCACATTACAGAGTGCTAAATCAGAAGTGGAGCAGCTGGCACTTGAATCAGCACAGCTTAAAGCCAGGATGTTAGAACTCAATTTGGTCTTCCAATTTGAATGGCAAGATCCAAATATGTGTAGTATCAGGCAACTAGAATCAGAAATGAAGCTGGACTCAAATCTAGGTATTCAGACATCCCAAGTGCTTTATTAAGCACTGCACCAAAGATCTTTCTCCAAATCAACTAATTTTAAACTTGAATCCATAATATAATACTTGTTCACAACATTTCATTCCTTCAGTCTTGTGGCTAACTGTGTTTCTATTAAGTGGCCCCGTATGACCTGTTCTTCATCACCAGGCACTTTTTGCTATAACAAATCTACAAAGATCTTTCATTCATCTAGATTGACTATGCCAGGCTCTCTTAAAGCTCACTAAAGTTAACAGAGCTATAAAAAGTTCACAGACAATATCCAGCAATTCACAATGGCATCAGACTCCAAATCTTAGGACATCAGTTGATAGCAAATTCTTGGCTGGATACAGTTAAAATTGATATGGATACCAGCTGGCTCACATTAGCTACCAATTCACCAGCATTTTCTTCTGTGAACTTGCTTCCCCTTCTCACATTTTCTATGCCCTCACTCTACATCTGGCATCAAGTCCCATATAAGACCCTCATATATGCTCCTGTCTCAGCCTTGTTTTGAAGGAAAACAAAATTAAGATGGCAATAAATACAAGCAGGTCAAAATATCCCCCACCCTGATCAAGTCATAGATAATCAAACAAAGCCCATAGAGAAATAGACTCCTTAAGTATAGAGGAAAGCAAGACTCCCAGCCAGAAAATGTACAATTACTTGTCATAAGAAATTATGGCATCATCAGTCAGCAAACTAACCAGTGTCTCTTTCAATAGAACTCATAACACATGTCGGAAATTAACACCAAAACAAAAATTCAAAGAAATTAGTGGATTTCTGACAATAACTGTCCTCTGCAGGTCCCTGAGTATTATTTCTAAATAAAATAGATCACATTTAACTTTAGAAAAAAAGAATTTATTGAGGCATCAGTGATTAAAAACATTGGAAAAGCAAAAATGACACAAAACAAATAAGCCAAAAGAATTATATTCCATCCAGAATTAAGAAATGGCTTCTAGAGGCATACCGCATTATTTATATTCCAACAATGATAATTATAAGGAAATAATTAGATGTGGATCAGGGAGCTAATTGATCCATCCGTTGACCCTACTAGCAAGTTTTTGTCAATTTTCCCAGATATGATCAGTTTTATACTTCTACCACCAGATTGTGCTCATGTTTCATGAAATTTCAGTCACTTCCAGGTTAGTAGTAAGAGAATCTGGTTACCTATTGTTACTGTCAAAAATTATCACAAGCTTAATGACTTAAAAAAAGTAAAATGTATACTGTCACTCTTTGAAGGATAAAAGTGAAATCACTCTCTCTGGCTCAAACTGCAATGCAGGGAGTGAGGTCTGTGCTCCAGCCAGTATCTACAGAATAATCTCTTCATTGCCAACTTCAGCTTCTGGTAGCCTCTGTCTTTATGATTACATGACTTTCATCTTTGCCTTCATGATGACATTGATTTTCATTTTGAGTATAAGCCTCCTTTTGCCTTTGGAAAAGGATGAAAACACACATTTTCAATAAAAATGAGGGTCACTTTTAGCAGTACGAAGTAATACTACCCAAATTATTGTCTCTGTGCAAGAAATTAAAGGAAGAAAAGTATAAAATAGGGGATTGTAAGTGAAATATTTTAAAATGGATTGCAACTCAGTAATCCAAGAAAATTTAGGAGATAAAGAGCAATTTATAGGATTTGAGATAGTCCCATTATATAGTGAAGGTGATGTGTGCAAAAAGTCCTACCTGAATATTCAAACAGACCTCAGGCAGTATAGTCTAATCCAGACATGCACACAGATAACTTGAAAGTTCACATGAGTATACAGGTGACCACAGGCTCATTCCCTATACTGGACACAACACTCATCACTCAGGGCTGGAGTACAGAATTATGGCTGGAACATGTGTCAGTTCAGTTCACATGCCTGTGGTCACATCACTTCTTTGTACTACAATACTACAATAATGTGGGGAAAGAATCCTAGGCAGGTGGTAAAACTGCTATACAACAATAACTTTGTAATTGGTGAAGGTATTCCAAGTAACTGTTGAATCAACCATTGAATATTTGTTAGCAAAATTTATACATGAAAGCATAGGTCATTTACTTGGTCTCACAATAATGGGAAACTAAAAACACAGGTTATATAAGAGAAAGAATTTCTGAAGAATGGTTAACCTGTCTCAGTCACAATTCATCATGTGAATTGCCTAACACTTGCTGAGGTGTGGTTGTATCTAAGAATTCTAAACACATGACATTTTCAGAAACTTCTCCCTGTAATCTTGCTAAGTATTGCAGAAGTTTGCCTTACAGTAAAGGTTTTTCCAATTACATTACAATCAAAGGATTTTCTCTTTGGTGAGTTCTCAGCTAACCATTGAGAGATGACTTATGGTAATCTCATTTCTGAGTCACTTCTTGTGAACTAAAGACAGATTTACAGGAGATGAATTTTTTAAACATTCCTTACATTTATTTTTTTCTTTATGGATTCTCTGATGTCTATTGATATCTAATTTCTGGCTAACTGTTTTGTCATATTTTTTGAATTCTGTATCAATGTAAGCATGAATTCCAGGAAAATACTTTTCAACATTCATTACACTTGTAAGAAAACCCCTGTGCGAATTCTTTGATTATAACAATTGATTTTGGAAGAATGATGTTTTTCACACTAATAACATTCATTAGCTTTCTCCTTTACATGAGTCCCTGTTGTATGGGCCATGGTTTCTAACAAAAGGCTTTGTCACAAAGATTACATTGATTTTGGGAAAAAGCTCTTCCACATTCAGTATATTCTTAAACTATTTCCTTTGTTTGAATTCCATGATGTGTTATGGGGCATTACTTCTGACAAAAGGATCTCTTACATTTATTACACTCAAAAGTCTCTACTCTAAATTCTCTGATGTTATAAGGCATGATTTTGGCAAAGAGCTTTCTAACACTCATTATATCCATAAGGTTTCCCCCCCATGTGATTTCTGATGTCTTAAGAGGTGTGACTTCCAGATAAAGGCTTTTTCACATGCATTACATTCAAAAGGGTTTTCCCCTATATGATTTGATGATGTGCAGTTAGGGTTGAATTATAGTTAAAAAGTTTCTGAGTCATTACATTCATAAGGTTTCTCCTTGTGTGAATTCTCTGGTGCATTGAGTTCTCACTTATTGTCAAAGGCTTTTCCACATACATTACATTCATAAGGCTCCTGCCCTGTGTGAATTCTCTGGTGTTCAATAAGGTCTGATTTTTGGCCAAAGACCTTTCCATTAGTCATTAGCTTAATAAGGTTTCTCACCTGTGTGAATTTTCTGGTGTATAGGAGTTGTGATTTTTCACAAAAGACTTTTCCAGTCATTACATTCATGACATTTCTCTCCTGTGTTAATTCTCTGATGCATTGAGTTGTGATATATTTCCAAAGGCTTTTCCTCAGTCATTACATTCATAAGGTTTCTCCCCTGTGTGAATTCTCTGATGCATTATTAGGCTTGCCTTCCGGCCAAAGGCTTTTCCACAGTTATTACATTCATAAGGTTTCTCCCCTGTGTGAATTCTCTGATGCATTATTAGACTTGTCTTATGGCCAAAGGCTTTTCCACAGTTATTACATTCATAAGAATTCTCCCCTGTGTGAATTCTGTGATGTCTAATGAGGTGTGACTTCTGGCCAAAGGCTTTTCCACATTCCTTGCATTCATAAGGTTTCTCCCCTGTGTGAATTCTCTGATGCATTATTAGGCTTGCCTTCTGGCCAAAGGCATTTCCACATTCCTTGCATTCATAAGGTTTCTCCCCTGTGTGAATTCTCTGATGCATTATTAGGCTTGTCTTATGGCCAAAGGCTTTTCCACAGTCATTACATTCATAAGGTTTCTCCCCTGTGTGAATTCTCTGATGCATTATTAGGTTGGTCTTCTGGCCAAAGGCTTTTCCACAGTCATTACATTCATAAGGTTTCTCACCTGTGTGAGTTCTCTGATGCATTATGAGGCTTGCCTTCTGGCCAAAGGCTTTTCCACAGTCCTTACATTCATAAGGTTTCTCCCCTGTGTGAATTCTCTGATGCATTATTAGGCTTGTCTTCTGGCCAAAGGCTTTTCCACAGTTATTACATTCATAAGGTTTCTCCCCTGTGTGAATTCTCTGATGGCATTATGAGGTGGTACTTCTGGCCAAAGGCTTTTCCACAGTCATTACATTCATAAGGTTTCTCCCCTGTGTGAATTCTCTGATGCATTATTAGGTTGGTCTTCTGGCCAAAGGCTTTTCCACAGTCATTACATTTATGAGGTTTCTCCCCTGTGTGAATTCTCTGATGCCTCATGAGATTTGATTTCTTGCCAAAAGCTTTTCTACAGACATTACATTCATAATGTTTCTCCCCCAGTGTGAACTCTTTGATGAATTATGATGCTTGACTTCCGGCCAAAGACTTTTCCACAGTCAAAACATTTATAAGGTTTCTCCCCTGTGTGAATTCTCTGATGCATTTTGAGGTTTGATTTATGGCCAAAGGCTTTTCCATATTCATTGCATTCATAATGCTTCTTCCCTTTGTGAATTCTCTGCTGATTGATGAGGTTGGACTTGTTCAAAAAGTCTTTTCCATAGTCATTATATTCATGAGGTTTCTCCTCTATGTGAATTCTCTGTTGTGTTATGATGTACGGTTTTGGGAAAAAGACTTTTCTACTATCAGTACACTCATGAGGTTTCATCTGTATGTGAATTTTCTGTTGTCTAATGAGATCTGACTCCTGGTGAGTGGTCTCTCCACATTCAATACACATATGGGGGTTTCCCTGTATGTGAGTACTGTGATGGATGTTATGGCAGGACTCACAACTGAAAGATTTTTCACAAGGTTTACCTGCATGGAGTTTTTTCTCTAAATATGGTCTCTGATTTATGGCAAGATGTGATTGGTAAATAACAGGTTCCACATATCTAATATATTCATAAAATTTCTCTCTTATGTGGGTTTGTTGACACGTACTGAGGTTAGAGCTTTTGTGGAAAGCATTTATTATTTGAGTTGCCTTTCCAACAGTGATAGTTGACTTATTACAGGTTTCTCCCTTATGAACCTTCTCAGATTTAAAGAACATCTTCCTTGTGAATTCTTTCCCTTGTCCAATATGCTCAACTGTCTGATTCACAGTCTGAATCTTGTGACACTGATTAAGAGGCTCACAGAACTGGAGAGAGTTCCCAGGTACCTTAGTGGCATCAAATTTCTCTTCAGCTTGTAGTTGATCAGACCCCCTTTGGGGATACACATTGTGACATACATTGCATTCTTCAGGTTTCATTCTTAAATAATTTCCCTTTCTGATATTTAGTTTTGGAATATGGCTTGAACATAAATTAAATGTTTTTCTTAATTCAACTCTCTTTGGAGTTGATGTGTTGTTATTTTTCATAACATTAAGATTCAGACTTTTGTCCTGACATTCCTGGTTGGTCCTAATCAGGTCATCCCTTTTCACAGCAACTGAAATGAGAAAAAAATAAACAACCACTTCACTGAATCACATAGAACTTTCTCCTTGATAACTTATGTAAATGGAATCAAGTTACTTATTATTCAATTGGCATAAGATATTAACAAAATCAATACGAGAAACTTAGTTATGATTATTATATGGCTTTTCTCCTTAACACATTAATATATTGAATAGTATCAATAGTCTCCCAATGCTCAATCATGATTGTGTTCACTACTTGAATTCTGTTCAGATATGCCAGTTTGAAACCTGACTACTCTGTCTCCAATACAACTCTCTGCTTTGAATATAACTCTCTGCTTATGTAACCTGGGAGGCTGCAGATGACGGTTTATGTGTTTGGGACCCTGTGATACACCAGAGAAGACTAGATAGAATTCCAGGATATTGGCTTCAGACTAGTCAGACCTAACTGTTGCAGTCATTTGCAGACAGTGAGTTAAAAAATCTCTCTCTACTCATTGACATTCTGCTTTTATCAGAGATGAAACAACTACACAAGATTTCAAAGAATAGACAAATATTTAGCAAAAATTTTCATCCCTTGCCTAGCAAACATTTTTTCCTTGTGCTTTTGCTCCAGTTTATATTTAGAAAAATTGTGTATTTTGGGCTTATCTAATATTTCAGAAATACCACAAAGTTTTACTGGATCATTTACTTTCAGGTGAAGAATGAAATGTGTTTGTATTCCAAACAGGATCACATTTAAGGAATAGTATATGAGTGTATGTTTCCTCATGTTTAGTCTTCCCTGGGATTTGTAGGATTTTTCAAATGAAAAACTTTTATCTGCAATCTATGACAGCTTCCCCATATTCCTAAGTAAATCTGACATCTTCAGCTTCTCATATCTGTTACTGGTACAGAAAAGTCACAGTATACCATCTTGGGTATAAACTCGATACCAGTTTAAAGAATTTGTTTCTACAACCCACAGGGTGCTCACTTTCTTTGAAAAGTGTTTTCTTATTTTTTTAACTTTTATTTAATAAATATAAATTTCCAAAGTACAGCTTTAGATTATAGTGGCTTTTCCCCCCACATATCTTCCCTCCTACCCACAACCCTCCCATCTCCCACTCCCTCTCCCATCCCATTCACATCAAGATTCATTTTCAATTATCTTTATGTACAGAAGATCAATTTAGTATATATTAAGAAAAAGATTAACAGTTTGCACCCACACAGAAACACAAAGTGTACAGTACTGTTTGAGTACCAGTTATAGCATTAATTCACATTGTGCAACACATTAAGGACAGAGATCCTACATGAGGAATAAGTGCACAGCGACTCCTGTTGTTGACTTAACAAATTGACACGCTTGTTTATGGTGTCAGTAATCACCCTAGGCTCTTGTCATGGGTTGCCAAGGTTATGGAAGCCTTTTGAGTTTGCCAACTCTGATCATGTTTGGACAAGGTCATAGTCAAAGTGGAAGTTCTTTCCTCTCTTCAGAGAAAGGTACCTCCTTTGATGGCCCATTCTTTCCACTGGGATCTCACTTGCAGTGATCTTTCATTTAGGTCATTTTTTTTTTGCCAGAGTGTCTTGGCTTTCCATGCCTGAAATACTCTCATGGGCTCTTCAGTCAGATCTGAATGCCTTAAGGGCTGATTCTGAGGCCATAATGCTATTTAGGACATCTGGCATTCTTGAGCCTTCCTTGTATCCCGCTTCCCATGTTGGATCATTCTCTTCTTTTTAATTCTTTCAGTTAGTATTAGCAGGCACTAGTCTTGTTTATGTGATCCCTTTGACTCTTAATCCTCTCATTATGATCAATTGTGGACTGAAACTGATCACTTGTACTAGTGAGATGGCATTGGTACATGCCACCTTGATGGGATTGAATTGGAATCCCTGGTACATTTCTAACTCTACCATTTGGGGCAAGTCTGATTGAGCATGTCGCAAACTATACATCTCCTCCCTCTCTTATTCTCACTCTTATATTTAACAGAGATCACTTGAAAAGTGTTTTCTAACTAATTCTGAAAACACCAGCTGTGGTTATCTCCTCTCAATTCTTTCTATAAACACTCCTCTGTGATAATTTGAGTTTCTCAAGGCTTTTGATTAGTTGCCTCCTATTTTCACAGAACACTTCATTTCCTATGCTGTTTTGTTATTTTCTTGTTTTTCAATGACAATGAAAAATAAGAATTCATAATTCAAACTCTTCTCCCAAACAAATCTGAGCCATTCAACATGAACCTATGAGGTTACTTGACCTTGGGATTGAGAAACTCATGAATTTCTTGGTGAGTCTAGGATCACTTATTTTCATGTTCCTATACAAGTTCATGCTTAGCTTTATGATTTTTGATGTCACAGCACAGAGGCTTATTCCTGATCATCTTTTAGCATTTACTCATTTATTAACTTACTTCAAAGCCAAAGAGACAAAGATTGAGGCACAAAGAGAATGAAAGAGAGGGTTGCCAGCCACTGAAGGAGTTAATAAATGCATGAAGGAAAAGGTATGAAAGTGTGGAGAATGACAAGTTAGAATTTGTAGAATGAATCTAACCTGGAAAAAAAAACCCTTAGTAACATCAGAAAAGCATTATATTTTTTTTAATTCAAGAATATCTTCACCAAGAAAAAAAGAGACAGACATTGGTATCCCCAGATATTCTAGAATACCTGATTTACAAATCCAGATGTCATCAGGAGTAAGACTTGAGAAAAATTCATGGAAAGAGCACCAGTCAACATCTGCTGCACTGCTTCTACTTTGGCCTCCCTGCCCATTATGTGCAGACTGACCTGGAAGGCTCTGATGCAAGCATTCTTCCACCATCCAGGGCTCTGTTCCTTGCTCCAACTTCAAGATCAAGTCAGGTTTGGTCATGCAGTGCCCTATTAATGGAAACAATGTCAGACTTTGTGAAATCACAATGTTGGGTTATTTAAAAGACTAGAGCTTGGTCCAGGTGCTCTGCAACAAAGGTACCAATTTGAATCCTTCCTGGATGTTAGAAATTCAGATTATTCATGTTCTCAAATTCTACACCTTCCAAACATTATACTTTATAAAGTGTTTACTTATTTGTCAAATAGCAGAAAAGTTACCATTGGGAATGTGATGGGTGTCACTCACCCAAGGAGAACAGGATGCTGTAGGTCTCCAGCATCACATCCCTGTACAAGATTTTTTGAGCATTGTTCATGTTCTGCCATTCTTTCCAGGTGAAATACACAGCCAGGTCTTCAAATCCTATCATCACCTGTAATAGAACACCTCTGGTCAACATATGAACTCTGTCACAAAACAAACACTAAAAGCTGTGTATGTTGTATACAGGTATGAAGGAAGAAGGAAGGATGTGGTTTCATTTTAGACTTGAGCATTTGGACAACCACATAAGAAGCATTAAACAGGGAGTCAAACTATTGTCTGAAAGCAGTGAAAAATGCCCAAGCCAGAGGGAAACAGGAGTTTCAGATCAAAAGGGCTACATCTGTCCAGAGGAATTACATAACAGACTGAAAGGGGGATAATATTAACTTTGAGTGAGCAATGTTAAAGTGAAGAATTTAGAAGTATTTAGGGAAAAAGACAAGATCCTATCAGTGAAGCCTTAATGAGAATGAACACAGAAGAATTTCCAGGAAAACATCATCCATAGTCACTTCAAATATGGCAGAGGACAAATATTTTAAAGAGAGGGCAAGCATTTAGTTTAGTGTTTATGATGCCAGCTAAGAAACCCTAGTTCTACTTCAGAGTGCCCAAGTTGGATTTCCAGTGCCAGTTCTAGTTTCCAGCTCTCAGCTAATGCAGAACTGGGGAAGCAGTAGTGATGCCACCAATGAGGCAGGCATAGACTCCATTCCTAACTCCTGGATTCAATCCTGCTCACCTCTGCTTGGTATGGTTATTTAGGGAGTGAATAAATACATGGGAGCTCTCGCTCGCTCTCTCACTCTCTCTCTCTCTTTCTGTCCTTTAACTTCTTTCCCTATCAAGCTCATAAATATTTTTAAATAAGAACATTGAGGTAAGACAGACAATAGAAAATAGCTTTTGGCTTTGTCTATGATTATTCTACTGATGAACATTTGAAGAACTGAAATAACATCAAATTAAAGGAAAACAATGGAATTATTTGCCTAAAAACAGTACTTGGGGAAGTCTGCACTACAATCTGCATTTGTAACTAATTGAGAGAAATGCATAAAGATTTAAGAAACTGAAGTAGGCATCTGCAATGTGATGTAGCAGGTTAAGCCTCCATCTGCAATTCTGTCATCCCTTGTGAGCATACAATTTGAGTCCTGCCTCTCTATTGCAACCCAGCTCCATTGCTAATACATCTGAAAGAGTAATGAAAGATGGCCTGAGTATTTGGGCCCCATTCCCTAATATGGGTGACCAAGACGGAGTCCCAGGCTCTTGGTTTAGCCTGGCCCAGTCCCAGCCACTGTGGCCATTTGGGAAATGGAGCAGAAAGATGGAAGATATCTCTTTTTCTCTCCCTGTCTCTCCCAATCTCTGTAACTCTGCCTTTCAAATCAATAAATAAATATTACAAAAACAAAATAACCTGCACTAGCTTCTTTTCCCCACATTTTGGATCCTATACCCGAATCAAGTTGAGCTCCTCAAAACTATTAAGGACTGCATTACTCTAAAAATTCAGAAATGAATTTAACGGATATGTGTGTTAGTACTAGGCAATTTTTACCTTTGTAGAATTCTAAGTATTTATTTTCAAGGTACTAAAATGTTGACCACTATGTCATGTATGTGACAATAAAGACTGTGACATCATGATCCAAAAGATTTAGGATATTTTGCTCTGAGGTTCAACTCAAACATGTAATATATATTTTGTCATGGCAACAGAAAGAACAGAGACCAAACTGCCCTATCTTAGATGAATGTAATGTTTCATAATCATGACACATTTGTTATTCATCTTATTTGTGGATATTCTCTGAGAACAAAGTTATGTTTATTTTCCTTTTTGATTGATAAACAATTATAGATTTCCTAAAATGAAAACTGACTACAAGCTGAGGAATAATTAACAAAGCACTGCCTACAAATTTTGTAAAATAATGAGATAATAGTAAAAAAAAATTAAAACTTTAAGGGCGATTATCCAAATAAATGAGGTTATCAAAGAGATAAACATTATGTTGTCACTAAAATTTACATTAGAGAAAGTCATTTTGAATTCATTCTTTTTCTATGATTTCAAAAATACCATATAGGATTCCATATATATGTGTGTACACTAGAACACTTCTTGTATTTTTAGACCTGAAAGTCTATAGAAAGAATGCAACTTACAGCATCACATTTTTGGCCAAAATTGCATTGGAACAAATATACATAATATATATTTAATGTAGTATACTTTTTCAGTAATGATTTCAAATAACACCATTCCCTATATCCATCCCTTTACAAGACCTTGATTTCACCATTTCACTTCCTTTACCTATGAGACATCAGGACATGTGAGAGAAACACACATTGTAAAGCATTTGCCTTCTCAGATTTTCCTTATTTGACACAGTTATCTTCAGGAAAACCCTGGGGTCTGCTTGTGGAAGAGATAAGATCTAGCCAAGATTCACTAGAAATTACCATTTGAGTGGCTACTCCCCTCCTGATTCAATTCCAGCTCCTTGCAAAATCACATACTGAAAAACACCTCCCGGGAAGCAATGCCTCAAGTAGGTGAAGGCCTTTGAGCCATGTCAGAGACTTGGATTGAGTTATTTCTTAAACAAAATTACTTATTTGAAAAACAGAGAGAGAGAGAGAAAGAGAGAGAGAGAAAGAGAGAGAGAGAAAGAGAGAGAGAGAGAGAGAGAGAGAGAGAGAATCTTCGTTATCCCAAAAACTTACAACCAAAATTCACCACAAATATGGTCAATTTCTGTAGACATGCTTACTGTGGACATAACATATAGTGGACGATGGGATCTATGTGTTCTCTTGACAAATACAGAGCCTCCATCATTCAGATAGGACGGGGCACTACCTCTCAGCCATATTCACCCAGGACATATTCTTGGCAACAGGAAACTGGAGTCAGAACAAATGAGGATGTCCTGCCCTTCAGTTGGTGGTAGAGAGGAGAGGGATCCTGTTGTTTCCATTTCATTGTGTCATGATAGGGGATAAGAAAGCAGACCAGGTTTCAACTGGCACCAAATCTCTTTGCTCTTACTTTCTGTGGTATTTATTTACTCCCTATATGTCTTTGGAGTTTACTAGAATAGCTTCTTATTTAGATTTTAAGTAACCCTCATCAATTTTACTAAAATACGTGTTCCCACTGCTACACACGATCATTTCCAAATTCTATGAATCATTCAATTTTAATGCTTATATGCTTAATTATTAATTATATTTGTAATTGCCACATACTAATGACAAATTAGCTTAAAAGAATTGAACTCAATCAAATGTAAGTCTCATATCTGATCCATGGTATTATTTCTATGTTTTGGAAACTTTGTAGATGTTTATTATATGTGCCACTAAAATTCAATTTCATGTTCATTAAACTGGTAAAATTCAGTGCATGTTTTGAAAAACACACATAGTGATAAATTTGGAAAAGCTGTGAAGTACTACAAGTGGTTGTCAAAGAGATGAAAAACCCACAATGACTATTCTTTTTTTTTTTGGACAGGCAGAGTGGATAGTGAGAGAGAGACAGAGAAAGGTCTTCCTTTTGCCTTTGGTTTACCCTCCAATGGCCGCCACAGCTGGTGCACTGCGGCTGGCGCACCGTGCTGAGGTGAAGGCAGGAGCCAGGTGCTTTTCCTGGTCTCCCATGGGGTGCAGGGCCCAAGCACTTGGGGCATCCTCCACTGCACTCCCTGACCATAGTAGAGAGCTGGCCTGGAAGAGAGGCAACCAGGACAGAATCTGGCACCCTGACTGGGACTAGAACCCAGTGTGCTGGTGCTGCAAGGTAGAGGATTAGCCTAGTTGTCCACGGTGCCGGCCCACAATGACTATTAATTTAGTATCTAGTGTTGAGAAAATCAGAAGTATTTGTGAAAATTTTGCTACAATGCATTACATTTATGATTTTCAGAATCTATCTTTCCTGTGTATAATGTAGTTCTGTGCTAGCTTTGAGTAACAGAAATTTAAAATGTGAAGATTTTTCAATATTTTATAAAGATTCAATTTTTATTTGAGAAGCAGCTATGGACATAAAGAAGGAGAGACAGAAAGAGGGGTCTTCTATCCACTGGTTTATTCCCCATATGGCCACAATGGCTGGAGTTGGGATGATCCAAAGCCAGGAGCTAGGAGCTTACTCTGGGTCTGCCACATGGTTGCAGGGGCCCTAGTATTTGGGCTATCTTTCACTACTTTCTTGGCCATTACCAAGAGCAGAACTGGAAGTGTAGCAGCAGGCACTTGAATTGGCACCCATATGGGATTCCAGCGCTGCAGTTGAAGACCTAACATACTATGCCAAAGCATTAACCCAATGAATGGTTTTGGGAAGACATTCTCCATGCAGCATAGTCTGTAATATTGAGAGGTAAGATTTAGGTTTTATTTCCCACACATCAGTATTTATCTTCTAGCAACTATAAATATTGAATATCACATATACATATATTTACATATTTTTGTAGTGGCAGATTTTGTTTTAATTCTCTCCAATACTCTTTTTAATGGTTTGCTAATTTGCCACCTTATGGTTATTGTATTGATGTTACCTATAGGTAACAACCATTAGGCATTTCCACTGTAGTATGTGTTTATATGTGCAAGTATTTTTGTTTCCATGTGTGTGCATGCATGCACAATTTTCAATGGAGTTAGCTCTGAAAGTAATACTGTAAGAATCCTAACACTCATTTCAACATCTCTATCCTCCCCAGAGATGGCTGTCTTTGAGTCAGACCATGTAGCCCATATAAGTGTTATGGACTGAAATGTGCCTCCCTAAAACTCATACCTTTAAGTGCTAAGTGCCAATATGACTACCTGGAGAAATTGCTTTTGAGCACAAATAATATCATATGTGTGAGGTCCATTGGGAGAAAGGCCTCTAGAAGAAAATCAAGCTTGTTATGACTTTGATCTTGTGTTTTCAATCTCCACAACTCTGAGAAGTAAATTTCTCTGATTAAAATGACACTATCTGTGGTATTTTGTTAGCAACCTAATACAGCCTCATTTCTGCAAGCGTTCTCTGCAGTCACCTAGAAGGTCCCCACAGTTATCAGGGAAACA